TTGCTGTTAAATTTCAAATGTCTGAATTATCCATGGAATGGTCCATTGTTATTGTTATATATGTTGATGATGATTTGGTGCCGACAGTCAATATATTTTGCAAATGACTGAGTCAAAATTAGTGAATGCACTAAATCAAAATCCAGAAAATTAAAGTGACAAAAATTAAAATAGCACAAACTTGAAATAATTCTGCAACAACGCAATTCTACAACTGCCAACATTGTTAAAATTGCTCSCATTTGACTGAATTGCACAACAGTTCAATGTCAAGGATTTAATRTGCTCACTCTAGTCTAAACATGATTACAGGCCAAGGTTTGTCAAGTAAACCACTGAAAGTACTTTCAACTCATTTAATCATTTTATTTCATAACTTCAAAAAAAGATGAATGTATGACTACAAACTTATTTCATTGTTCTCACAAGCTTTCCTTCATCGCATTTGTAATATCTTTGACTTTCTTGGCAATGGACATATCAATATGTTTATCACCAAAACTCACAACCATGCCTCCAATCAGAGATGTATCAACCTGGAAGACAGCATTGCACATYAGATCAGGACAACTTTTAACATCATATAAAGTCATGACACTCATTGTGTGACCATTGATTAAGCGTATTCCCKAGGCTTATGAAATAAAAAATATGCAGCCTAAGACAGTATGTTGCTAGTGCTAGCATACAACCCATTTACTATGACTTAAAAGGGTTTTCAAAGACCAACATATTATAGAAAGTGCAATTTGTAAATGTGAACTTCAACTGGTTACCATTTAGCAGCATTCAATTTTGATCAGCACAAGCTTCTTCATTAAATACAATGCACTTGTTTTAAYTTTATTCAGGAAATAGAAGTTATAATAATCATAAAAATGAAAAACAAGAATATTTTCAAGGACTTTTTAATGACCCTCAACAAAAACCTCCATGACTTTCCAGTCCTGGAAAACTAAAATATGAAATACCACAACTTTCCAGGTTTTCAAACCCWGCAAAACTGTACGAATATGCATTAGAAACACTGACTTTCTTACCGAAGTCTCAAGCTTGAGAGTTTCTCCTGTTTTTAAAAATGATTTCAAAGCAGACTGCAGGTCTTTTAAATTGGCACTATCCAGTTCCTACAATAAATTCATAAAAGTCCTTTATTGTTCATCTGTACCAGTAGGGTCAACGTAAGGGGCTTAAATGATGATCAATTTCTCAAAAGAAATCCTTCAACGCAATTTTGGCAATAACACATTGAAGGTTATACAAACAATCACTCTTAATCCCTAACAAATTCCTAATTATGGAGTGTTGCACTCCCAACACTGCAGGTGATGCATTTTTTTGGGAAAAAAGAAAAAAKAGAAATCACAGTACATGTATATTCATATAGATTGGGAATGTTGACACTTTTAATTGAAATGATCTGTTTAGGATGGAATGATATAATAAATAATTCTATAATATAATTTTAGTTGTTAGTTTTAGTACTTGTAGTGTCAGGACAGTGACATTGGTAACTTGAAAGTAGTATATGAGTGTATGTATACACCTTATAAGTTGTCAGGTTCCAAGAGGTTACATCATGAAAGCTAAACAACTGCCAGACTGCAAGTCAGCAYCAGTCTTTTTAAAGACTTAAAAGTAGGAAAAAGATCATTGCTTGCACTGAATAAAAATACTTTACCAACACCAAATGTTATAATGTAGGCATACATCATTCATACAGCATTTTGTTAGGTGTCAGCTTCAATGACATCACCTTTTTTGGGACCCAACAGTGTTTTCTAATTAGGTGTATTTTAGTTTTGTTCACTGTATTTACATGAATTTCTAACCTTGGCTGTAGTTACAGAACATCGGACCTCTCCCCTTGTAGCACTCATCAACTTCCCAAATGAGGAGTTTACACTTGAAATTAACTTAAGTCTGTTATTTTCTGCCATTGTAGCTGTAAACCAAATTTATTTGTTATACTTACATGTACAGTACTGTATGTGTCTGAATATCAATTCCAGACATTATCCTAGATTTTATAATCTGAAAAAATCCCTTATGACAGAAAAGGCACTAAGAGGGCATTTGGTTACTCCTCTTTTTTTTCTGAAAGGATGTGCATTACAGTTGTAGATCTAATTTCTATTTCATAACATGAAGTTTGCTTTACTACAGTTCATTTATCATATAATAGAAGAATGTGTATCTTGATTCTGTTGTGGAACAAGTTAAACTTCAATGCTGACTGTAAAAAAAGTACATGTAGGTGGAATAATTTACTGATGTTTCGGATCTTAATCCTCCGTCAAAGTTAATTCACCTACATTGTACTTTTTTATGGTGTTCTACAACTGGTTCCAAAGGCAACCCGAGCTAAGCATTTGACTAACTGATTTAGCGATATCTAGAATGCATGTAAAGATGTCATTTTTGAAAGAAAAAATAATTAAAAAACATTTTTCTTACCTTGAGATATGGTTTTAGTTCTGAATGAAGGGATAATTTGCCGTTTTTCTTCATATCATCCCTTCTATACTTATTCATTTATAAATTTATTTTTTTTAACCTCTATACTTACATCACAGAAAGGCAGGACAGAATTGCTAGAAAAAATCCAATCGTCACATCACTAAATTTCATCCAAAAATTGGATCTGCCTGTCCAAATTGATCTGAAAAATCAAAAGCCTACACCAACCACTTTTCCAGCTCTTGTGTAAATCTCGATGTCAAAGAAAAATGTTAAAACAGAGATTGAGAGAGATTTCAGTAAATCCTGCAAGCCATGGTCCCCTGTTCCACTGCCAAATGGGGAAAAGAAAAAAAACTCTCTCTTTGGGGTCAATTATTGGATTTTTTCTAGCGGTTTTTCTGCTTAAATCAGTGATATAAGTATAGAGGGGGAGATATAAAAATAATGACAAACTATGCCATAATTCAGAACTAAAACTCTGAACTCTAAACTATTTTTTCCTATRAAAAATGTCATATTTACACGCATTCTAGATATCACTAAATCAGCTTGTCTAATGAATACTGCACAGTGCATTCCAAGACTGKCATGCATTGTTGCAATTAAGTTCATGTTAGCTGCACTGAYTATTAACAATTCTCAAACTTAATTACTTTCCATTGAATTTCTTGACTGAATGAATCTATTTRAGTCACCCTGTCATGACTATGAAACTCATTTTGAGCTGTGATAAAATGACCATCAATGCATTTTGGACTTGGAATACACTATCTTTTAATTCTTATTCTGTATTTTGTGAAATAGCTGTACACATTCCAATATCGCTGCTTGATAGCAGAGCTCCATAGCTAGACAAAAAAATGGCATAGCAATCAATTCCATTTTTCTTCAACCGACACAGTGTTCCTGCATGTTTCTGAATTCCTTCCTTCCGTCTTTGTACCATCACAAGAAACACATGCTTCGTGCAAAAAAGGCTCCAAAATATTTTTTGAAACGTCCAATTTTTCCCTCAAACATTTATCTTTGAAACTGATAATATTAGAAAAATCAATCAAAACAAAAATCAATCCACAGCACAGTGAAATCAAAGCTCAGAGATTCCCGCCAATTTTATCATAACTACTGTACCACAGAGRGTTTGCACATCTGGGAAATCGATTTGCAAAAGAAATTAAAGCAATTTACTCTCAAGCATTTTGAGGCTCACTTTTAAAAATAAGAAAAAAGGTAACAATAAAAAACAGTTGATCCTGTATTGGAAATACTGCAAAAATATGGGGAAAAGCAACAATTTTTCTGAACTCTTTTGACAAGAAGTGTGGWCATTTTGAAACCAATACAATGKCAGCACAGCAGCACTGGATTGAAAGAMAWTTAAAACAAAGAATCGACAAAATTACATTCTTAAATGACATTATAAATTTATGAAACTTGTGTTGGAAATAAGTATGGTGTTGTTGAACTGAGATGATGTTTTTGAACTGGACAATTAAGGTGAGTTTTCCCGGTAATTTATAAGGGAACATTCATTGGAC